CTAAGAAAGATTCACATTGCTTGTAAGAAACAGTTCACTCAGGTAATGGTCGTCGGCTTATTAAACAATTATTGAACTCCTCCTTGACCATTACCGAATACAGTAAGTTGTGTTGAACCTAAATTGAGGTACTTATGGTCATATATCGTTTATGCAAAGAGAGTGCCTCTTGATTCTCATATAATCGGTATGCACCTCATAATTTTGCTGCTATTTTCCTTCTGTATGTATTGATATTTCCGTTTTATATGTGCACATGTGATCCGGAAGTCAATATAATGAATAACTTAGCTCCAGAGTTGTGCAAGCAGAAGAGAGCAACTTGGGAACTTTTTGAGGGTGCTGAGGTTATATGGTGAAAAGGAGATAGAATACACGGCTACGTGCGCACCTCTTCAACTTCATATTTCTCCCTTCCTTAAATCATGAGTGGGCAACCTGATCGCCACGTAGCAGGATGAAAGACTATTCAGCGTAATAAAATACGCAGTCGAAAGGTCGATGCTAGGAGTATCTCGTGTTTCACAAATCTAGAGTCCGGCCTGCATTCACGATCTATATACGATAAAGTCTTTCCATGCGCCAGACTATCAAAGGTTACATTTACCGGACATGTTATGTGTTTTAACGACAACCGATGATAGGGGCCATTACCGGTCAAGAATCGACCAAGTGACTCATGCTTGCGTCACGAAAGAATGATGTATTTACTGGCGCTCGCTCGAGTCACTTGAAGATCAGTGGGATCACGGTAGATATAGTGATGCATGCATAGATATCTAGCGTTTAATCAACCAACTTTGAGGTCCAATCAACTTCTGAAGTTCAGCTCATTGCTAAACATCCATCATTGCTCGACCGGTACACAACATAGTGCCAAGTCGACCATTTTTCCGCGTATACATTTCATTGAGAAAACAGGAAATGCTTTAAATTCGATGTGTTTACCATAAGTCCCACTATCAGCGACAAGTATCAATAGGAAACAACATCTAACAACAGCCAACGTCTCAATAGCAATTCATTTTCGTATAGTCAGGTTCTTAGTTTATTATCACTGATGTGGGTACATTTTTGCTGGAAATGACAAAAACTGAAGTTTCTTCAGATCAAATCGTTCGTCATCGCCTACCTTTTCATAGGGATCATAGGTGTCTCCGAGAGGATTGGCTAAAGACGAAGGGCTTTCCCGACTGACGAGGCTGCAAGGCAGAAGCACGTGTATCGGGCTGTACAAGAGCCCATTAATAAACCACATGACATGTTGGCTCCAATAATAATTATGAGATATATTGGAATTTTAGCGTGGTATCAATAAAGCACTCGAATTAAAAGGTATAATCTCCAAATGAGCTGTCAAATGCCTTCTTTATAAGCTTTACTTTTCATGCGTGATATTTCAATGTACGTACATCAACGTATCTTTAATATAGAAAAGAGCAAGCAGCAGTCATAATTTGATGAATCAACGAGGAACATCGGTGGCGTTATTCATGGTCTTTTACAACTCTCTGAGGAATCTTAAAGTGTTTTTGTTGCTCGCATAACATGTCCTTTCCATGATACGACGGCCTTGCTGCTGCATCGATTTACATAAACGCTTCTACTTGTTCGCAATAACATGACATCATCAAAGATCTTAAAATATGGCTTTGAGTGCGTGCACTTGTCATTCTTTTAGAAAGAAAACTTCCACTAATGTACCAAGTGCTGTTGTCTTTCCGTACAAATCTGACACCAATTAACTTACACGAAGGAGAGCTTGGTTTGCCCGAAAAACGGCATTTAGCGAGTGCAAGTGAATTTCAGAACATCTTCAATTGGCGCAGTACGCGCACCCGTTTACATTTGCTAAGATCTAAGAAGATCATCTAGATTGTGAACTGAAGACGTTTTGAAAGATTTTGCAGCGCATCAAGACGCTGATTTGAGAATGATGTGATAACGTTGATTTCGTCACTGGATCTTTGGTATTGGGCCACACCCACATGCCCGAAAATGTCATATCTTATGAAACTCTTTAGACGTAAACTTAGTTTTGAAAGTAGTTAAACATCGTCAAATAGTATTCATCAACAATTTTGGGTGACAATACTGGCAAATCCGAAAAACCACGTGTTCTATGATCGCGAAACGAACTACTTATGAAAAATTCTTTTAGAGCTGCTGCTGAAATTTGGAATACAAAATAAGAATCAGAAGAAAAATCGATAGCTCAAGCGTCATATTTGTAGCGCTTCTTGTGCACTCATATTCATTTTTCCAAAGTAAAAAATCACCATTGGCTAGTGTATGCATCGTCAAAGTTTCCGTGTAAATATCGGCCGTAATTCCCCAATAAGGTCGAGTTCGTATCACAGTTGTATGATATTGGTTTATAGTCCATGGTAATATGGATGGTGATGATGAACTTGAGGTTTAGATAAATACTAGTTGAACGATTCTTTTCGGCACCAAAAGCTTCACAAGGAAAAATTTGACAGGATAATACTGCTTTCTAATTACTTTTTTCGCTTATCAGTTCATATCGTGCTAATTGTATTTTTAGAGGTTTCAATAAAATTTGAAAAATTGCATAATTACCCGCTAGGTTGATTGTATCAGTGGCAGAAAATTTCTTGAGAAGAGCCTGAAAAAGTACACAGATGGAATATTCGTAGCGTTCAAGAAAGGAATGTGCCTGAGGAGGTGCTGTCAGTAGAAACACTTAAAGCATTATATATAAACACTGCTCCAGGATGAATGGGCCGTGGTTTTGTACTATTTAGAAACTATTGACTCTACACACTTCCATCAATTACCTCGATTTATATAAAGCCGTGACATAGAATTTATAAAGGTCGGTCTTCATTCAAATAAGAATACTGAGTGAAAAATATCCATCCAAAACTGGTAGAATCCGATGCAGCAGATAGGCTTATGAATCACATAATGGCTAAATGGCGGCGGAAAGTATGACATCGTCACCAATATATTGACAGAGAACTTTGAGAAAAAAAAAGAGTTTGGGTAGAGGCGTAAAAGATACCATAGAAATACACATAGGACTGTTGAAAGAGTAAAACCTCTCACTCACAATACCCAGTCAAAAGACCTGCTCTCACTAAACCTCGGCATCAAAAGTGAATATTATCTTACAAAATGTTCTTTCTTATTCATAACGTGCGCGAAATAAGTATTGTCTTCAAAAACAATGGCTAACGTTTCGGTGATTTCGTCATCCTTACAAGCGTTGATATATTCATGTGAAAAAGGTCATCGCTAATTGTCACCCACAAAAATCATTCATTGCTCACTAGTCGATATGTACCAAGAAAATTCTGACCTCGTGGAAGCTTCATATAAAACTATATTGCCTTCTTCGGAGTTTTGAATAAGCAGCTAACTGCGTAGATATTTTGAATATGAGTAAACTCTGCTATCTCGCTGTTCCATGATATACTAAAACTCAAAAATCTTTCAAATGGCGTTGAGTCATGGTTTAAGTACTGTAGAGTCTTGGATCCGAAGGCAGAGAAATAGTGTGTCTAACCATATCACTGCCTAAAAAATTGCGAATTTTATGTGGATAGTGTAGATACGCATGCAAATCATTCGGATTACCGGTAAATCTTTGACAATTTTTCGCTGATCCATCCTTAACAAGCAAGCATCCATCCTTGTCGGACACCTGAGATCTCTAATGGGAGCCCATTCATGATATGCGAAGTGCACCACATTTCTGGTGTAATACTCATTGATTGTTATGCTTTTGGGAAAAGACAACTACGGATAGTTTTCTAGACTTCGTGATGACATAGGATTTTCAGCTCTGACACTTCACAACAGCCCCGTGAAGCTTTCAGTTACAAGTCAAATCTTAAGTAGAGATACCTCGCGAGGTTTTGACCTATATATTGGTCTCTTTACTAAGCAGCAAAACCATCGCAAACTCCCCATTTTTATTCCTCTTATTTTTGTTATTTTCAAGAGCAACTAAATTATGAACAATTTCGAAGGAAAGTTTTCGAAGAAAAAATCACAATCACAATGAATGGATGTGGAACTAGATTCAAAAAAGTGAATGGTAGCGCAGTTGAGAATGCAACGATGGAATGATGCCTATACGAACTGGGCTCAGACATTCTCCATGGGGTTTCATCGTTCCAATGTTAGACTCTGCGCATTGGTGATGATACATCGTCTTTCGTCTCGTTTGTTTTCATCAATCTCGTTGCCTCGAGTGCAATGCACTTTAGATCACAAGGTAAATGCTCGCCTTAATATATTTTTAAAACGATTTTATTGTCAAATGTCCACTTCCATATGAAACTGTTAGGTAACGCCGCAACTATCATAGATCGATTATTATTCAGTAAGGGGTGTGTATGCAAATGTAGACTTTGTATGCACGGAAGCCTATAAGGAACAAGCAGTGAACACGTCATTGTTGTGTACGAATAGAATTCTAGCACATTTAACATAGTATACAGTGCTACTAAGTGCATGTTTCATTTGATGGTGAAGAAAATTCTAGGACAGAATTATAATAATAAATTGAAATCTTTCCGAGTGAATGTCCTTTTAATCAATCGATGAGCCGAAGATTGAATTTTTGTCCAACTAGGAGTTAGCGCGATATGCGCATTAATAAATAAAACTGCTATTGCATAACTATTCTTAACTCTCGTTTTGCAGCAGCTTATCATGTTGATGAACACGATATACATAGTTGTGAATTTGTAAATTTCACAAACTCAAACAATTTGATTCATATCATAGTTTTTATAACTTTGCCTACAATTTCAACTTATTCGCTATGACGTGAACTCTGCAGATGTGACAGATAATGGGACATTGTAACCGGTATGACCTCTATAAAGTCGTGCTGGCCTCTTCTTCCATGCTTTTGAGCTTCAAATTTATTTTACATCTTGAAAAATTCTAGTGTTATACTGCCCTTTTCGCACTATCATAATGCTTTAAATATAGCTAGGAGAATTGAATGGTGAGCAAATTACGATCTCAGACGGGAGTCAAGCCCGCGTTTTCTCCATATCGGGGACGCGTGCTACCACTACACCACAGAGGTCCATTCGCGCCACCACACATTCTTCAATATCTCTGTGGTGGCTGTAGCAGAAAGAAAGGCGGGTTCGACTCCCATCTAAGGTCGTATTTTGCTCACCACTCAATTCTCTAAATTTCATCTGTTTTTTTATTTCAAAACCATATATTTTCAAGCCGTTTATTTTGACACACAAAACCTTTCTTATAGGTTTTCTGATGAGAATATGTATCTTTCACGAAGGTAATGCGGGAAATTCGCGTTCAGAGCTCTATCTTACATTGAGAAATATACTAGTAACTTTCTTTTTTGTTAGACGGTGAAAAATGAATAAACGATTTCTTTCGCTGAACAAAGATTTCCATCGCATTTTTAGTAATCATTAGAGAGCTTAAATTTTGGCTACTGCTCTAAGAGCTCAAAAAAGTCTCTTTATAACACTTGAGCGAAAGTGAAAAATTTGTGTTTCACAGGCGCATATTTCTCGTAGGACAGAGCTCTTCGTTTAGACTATTAGCAACCATTCGCTAGTTTCCACAGCTAACGCTGTGCTTCTCTTCTGGAGAGACCGTTTCATTCTAATAACAGAAAAAAATGAAATCGAATTTTACATATTCGGCGTGCTTATGTCGGCTCATATACGTTGGATTATCTGATGGCCGTAAATTCCTTGAGGCGTCCGCCATCGATCTATCGAAGTACGTTAGCGCGTCACATGTGAATTGGGACTTATGTCTTCCGATTGGAAGTTTTTTCCTTCTTGAAAGAAGCTCGAAGTAAGACGTATAACTCTGATACTACAAGATTTCCTTCATAAGTTGACAGGCTTCTTGTGCTTTTAGCGAAGTATCACTAAAATTGCGCTGCCAATGTAAAACATAACTTTGTTTTGAATTGTACAGCGCTATAAAAGTATCCAAAATACGGCTAGGTAATGCAGTAGGCAAAGGCTCAAGCTTTCAAATAATCACTAACACTCTTATGAAAGTTCCTGTTAAACGGAAGAGGATTTTCCTTCTTTTTTGGCCGTGTAACACAAACAAAAACTACACAAACCATTCTTGCGTTATTGGACCGGTAATTCATTTAGTCCGACCGCTTTTGCACTTTCAATCGCTATGATGAATTATAGCTATTGTATGGAATGTGAGATTACAAAAATAACAAAAAAAACTCATCATAAGCTGAGAATCTCTCTCAATGCTGACAAAGAATTATGTTTGCATGATGGACTATTATGTCACACGCCAAATGAAGTTATGCAAACCATTCAAATCGATACAACTGTAGATTAGAGTTTCCCTGTTTCGTCATATTCGCAACCTTTAATGTTTTTCATTTACCGAACAAGCATTTGTTGGTTTAGAAAAAGTAAATCACCAAGACCTGGAAGGAAGGCTTTGCCCTTTGAGACACCAAGGAAAAATTATGCGCCGTCGCGAATGTGTTGAATGCATTCGTTCATGATTCCTTTCCTTATGTTTGCTTGTAAACCAGTCGAAGGCCATGCAAAGATTTAAGAAGAAAATAGGAACTGCATGTTCTGAGCCCATCGCGACCCTAGAACGGTTATAATAGAGATCGTGACCTTTGAATCTATGACGTAATGACGTCTGCAGGTCAGCTCAGTTTCGCATTCACTAGTGAAGTTTCTTCTGTCTCCTACTCTTACAAGTGTTCATATGACCGGTATAAATTTTGGAAATGCTTTTGCTAATGGCTTTATGATCTTCTTTCAACGGATTTTAGAAAAGTTCAGCAAGTTCACACTTATATTGGTGACGGCAAAGTGTAAATTATGTACATACTTGCTGATCTGTGAGCTCGATCATATTTATATGAGTGCTTTTCCTGTCTCAAAATTTTGGCACCATGAAATTCCTTTTTATTCGACTTCCCACTTATTCTCTTCAGCAAACGACTAATTTAACCAAGTTGGAAAAAACCCATCTTCCGATGAGTATAAGTCATTCATATATGTAAATAATTGGCAGAACCTTTAGGAGAGGCTTTTCAGGCATCTCTCAAAGCACTGCTAAGCACTGCTTGTAATGAAAGAAGTGGGAGATGGGTAGCGCAATAGCTAGTGATGCGTTGCACTTGAGAAACGAGCCGATAAGCAACGCGCTGGCTCGACCTCTTCCCCATCAATCTCTGCAGTCAATCATCTCAACGCCTACTAAAGCCTTAGCTTGAGTGCCTCCAAGATTCCAAGAAGAATTATTGCAACCAGCATTCTCTGCCATTCATAATAAGTCGAAATCCTTAAGCAGCAGTCGAAAAAACATATGAAATGCTCGATTATCTCCGTGAAGGTCGATTGTGAGGAAACAAGTCTAATTCAATAACTATTGGGATTCGCATAGATAGTGTGATTACGGATCGTGTGAAATGAAACGGATAAAAGAGGCAAAGGTAGATTACATAAGAGCAGATTGATTGGAGAAAATTCGTGGAGTTTCGTCTGTGTTGAACAACGTGCCTGCTCAGATCCAACGGTCTGACCAGGGTACATTGCCCATAACTGACGAAATCCATCCTCATAAGGCTTAAATACGCATAACTAAGAATATATTACAAAAACCCAAAACCCACATGTTTTGGAATTTTGGACATGGCGGATGGACAGACGGAATGTCTTAATATGACAGCGAAATTGGCGAAATGCCACCGAACGGCGACGATTCAGAGGCTGAAAGAACACATCAAATGAATGGAAGAATTTCGATACCATTTTAAGCCATTGTCACAACCACAACCATGTAATCGTTTGTGCTTTCTAATGTTTGGAGCTTTTATGCATGTGTGCAAACCAAAGTACCAACCAAAGTACCATCTGATTTCTTAGAGGGGAACATGTAGTGACGAAGATCACCTTCATGAATTATTCTGTGCAGCGCTCAAATGATAGTTACAACTGGCGCGAAAATTCTTTTTTTTTTTCGACATCTTAGCGGTTATGTATCTCCAATTTTAATACGATGCAAACCTTAATAGACAGTTTTTGTCCCCTTTTAATCGTTTCACCTTAAGAAATTGATCAACTAGTAGTTGGCGTAATTAGACTACGCTTTGTAGTCTTCCGCATTTAGGCGGCAGAAGGGCTATGGAGAATTCTGACAACATCACCTCTTCTCACTCCACGAAATTTATCAGTCTTTATCATGACTCATCAAAATAATGATCTACAAAGAGCTCGTGTGAGCTTTGTCAAAGGAATGAGATAGAAGTAGAATTCTCGTTCACTTTGCAACACTCTGCTTTGAAAATCCGAGTGAAATAGCCATTTCGTTTATGGCATCCTGTATGTGTATAAACTTTGGATGAATTGAGTTTCGCTTGTATGACGAGTTTCAAATAATCAACTGCTACAGAAACTAATCACCAATGAAGCCCACTTTCTTCAGCTTTTTCAGAGGGAGAGCAAATTTCTCATGTGTTCAACGATGCTGCGAAATAATTAAAACACAGCTGTATACCGCAGTATCACAGAAATTTACTTGAACTCTGTAACGCTATATGCAGACTTGAAAAAAGGTTTCCCAATGTGTTCTCATAAAAATACCTATTGAATAACAATAAGCTACGCAGAGTTTTTTACCCTCTACTCTTTGAAAGATGTTTTTAGTTGATTTGTCATTCTATTTTTTGATGTGTTAGATCGGGCTGGGCGTGAATGGGTGGGAGAGTAAGAAAATTAAATAGACAAAAGCGAATGTTTATTCGATTGCACAGAAAACGAAATATGAATTAAACGCTTTGTGGTTCCGCTTTCACCTGCATTCTCATCGATCGTTCATCAGGGCATCAAACTTCCACCAGGTTTTGTCACCAAGAAGCCTCTTATATGAGTACCTCTCTTCCAGCAGGCAGGGTGAACATCAACATTAATATGCAACCAGCTGTTCCTACTTTTGACACACATTTTTTCAAGTGTCATCTCGATTCTCATCTCAAGAGTACTTCCACCAGATTTCAAGTTCTCAGCCGAATGGACAGACAGGTTATCAATGGCAAAAACGCAAGCACGTTGAAGAAGTAAGCCAATTTCACTCTGAAAAGCGGAAGTTCCCCTCCCAAATGCGACGTCATTTCTGTAAAAGTGCAAAGCAATGTTTGGAAGCGTCCCGGGTAGTCTGGCAACTATCTGGCCCAATACATTGCATGAATTGGAGTTACAGGTATGTGAAATTCATCAAGAAACTACTGTCAAATCCATGAATTACCCAAGCTACAACGAGCCTTTACCAAGAATCATTAACAAAGATGAAGTACAGAAAGATGTGAAAATACTTTACTACTAACTGCAGAAACCTATTGCATCTGAAATTAAGGCTGTCTACTACTCATTCAACTGCTTTGCCGTAAGGCGTACAAGTGCAATCATATAAATAAACTTCGTTTTCACATTATATAATAGAAAAGCGAGCTTCATGAAAATTTAGGAAAACACGAAATTCCGACTACCAGAAGAAAACCACTGTACTATTAATTCATAAGAGTTTTCACATTCTCCCGTTAATTGTCCAAAGTGCCAAGAATAGATAGAAAAATTTTAGCTACAGTAGTAGGGCTGGTGAATGAGACGGTGTGCATCGCGAATGGCTTGATCGTATTTTTCTATCTCTCATTCCACGACATTCGTATTCCAAACAGCTCACCACGCATAATCGTGTGAATGTATAGGCGAAGCCAATTGACAAGCCATATTTTTATTGATTACAGAGATTTTGTGGGAACTTCGTGAGATTTCTGTTGCTGACGTTTGTAATCAATTTTATTGCATCAACTATTCTACAATTTCGACCAATGAGTGTTTCCATCTCTCCCTCAATTTCAGAAATTCCAAACACCTGTGAATACAATCAGATTTAATAGAACATTGATGAGTGTAAATACATCAAAATATTAACTGCGCAATGAACACGTTAATGTTGAAAATATCGCCAAAGAACAAGCCACAATAAGTATTGCTATACTATAAATTATTTGAAAAATTCTCACTGGGTCGGTTTGATGGCATG